CTAGTCTCAAGAGGTTTTTTTATTTGTAAGTGCTCAAGATTCAGTTTTACATCACAATATGTACAGTCCTTGTGTTGTAGTGGATTTTTTTTTAATTAGGTACCTTTCTAACACTGCTCAGAGAAAGTGCATACTTATGTCAGAGACACACACAATCCACTTGGTGAAAGGGACAAAAAAAACAAAGTATAGCAGTTTAGAAATCTATGAGGTTCAAAAGTCTACCAGATTTTCTATAAAAAGTTACTAAGCACCATAAGAATTGGTTTACTTTTTTAAAAAAATTTTGCAGACTTAAATTCTCTTAGTTTAAATTTATTCCTAATGCAGTTACTTCGAGAACCTACTTAGTTACAAGGCAAAGATGCCCATTTTTGCCACACAAGCATCCACCACTGCAATACTCTATTTACAGTGTATGCCATACATCTAACCATATTTTAAGGCATTTCTCATCTCATAACAACTAATACTTGGGAAATAGAAAAAAAAAATGTGGCTCTCAACAAGAAAGGATAAAAATATTTAACTGATGGCTGTAAGTTAAATGTAGCTAATGAACTGGTCTTAGATATGAGTCAGAAAACAGATTTGTGAAAAGTATTTGATTTTAAAAGTAGTATATACGAACTCTAAGAAAAAAAAAACATAGCTGTCTGAAAACAGGCTTGAAAACCATGCATATGCCTCTGGAAAAGGCAGTGAGACAAGATTAATATGATTCATTTTGAGCAAAGAAACATCCTGATACATTTGGAACAAATGAAAGATAAGTATCAGTCAAAATTGCAGTAGTCCAGGCGAGAAGTTTCATTACAAGTCTTAGACCTTTGATGTAAGGGAGAGTAAAGTTTTAAAGGTCAGAAGCAGTTCCTGAAAAAAAAGGAACATACAAACTTTACAAAAGATGCGTACTGAACGGGAGGTTAAAGATGTGCTATTACTCAGAAAAACACGACTTTTGGATATAGTAAACTGAAGGATGTTAAAGCACATACCACAAATACATACACTGATCTCCGATGTGACACACATGCCAACTAATTGTAGAAAACTGACTTCCAATGCTACAGCAAACCAGAAACACTAAGCACTTAAAATCCTATTTTCAGATCTAGCAACCCAAAGACATGATACCATACAATCATGCTGCAGCAGAGTATGCTCCATTGTTACTCCTTGACGAAACACAGCAGTTCTGAACCCAGAGCCCGAAAACCTTTCCTAGTTCACAGAAAACAGGTTATTTCTAAGGGAGGACTGTAAAACATGATTAAACTCTCCCTTCCTGAATATACCACAGAAATATGTACGTGGCAATTTCAGCACACCTGCATTACTGCAGGAAAAAATGAGGGGTTCACAAATATAAAGGCCAAAAAAAAAAAAAATCACTTGTTTAAGGCATCCAGTTTAAAATGTATCTTTATGAAAAACTTGCACTTATTTACTCAAGGAGATAACTCTTCAGAATGCACTGAAATTATTCTGTTATGGGGAGGGAGGGAGAAAGACTGGTGTACACCAGTTGGCTAATACAATGTTTAAGAAAGTCTTGTTAGACTAGGTGCAACATACCAAGACAGTGTTTCTACCAGTAAGGAAAGGTACACAAAATGAGCTGCACTGGCAAAGTACTTACATCAATGTAACCATGCTAGTACAGAAGAGCTGTGCTAGCATCCAGTGTCAAACTCACATCCCATACTAAGGCTACTGTAACTAACAAAAGGTGACCCCACTGTAGAGTTCTAGTGCCCCTCAAAAAAATGTAACATCTGGACAAGCTATATGTATAATTACCATTCTTTACAACAAAAATTTAACATTTAAACAGGAAAAAAAGTTGTAGAGAAACCTCTGGCAGTTTAAGGGAATCCACACAGTCCTGCTCCTGAAGCTATTCTAGGAGTACAAAACATTTAAGAAAAAATGAAACCATTCAAAACTACTAATATACTACATGATACTGGCAATACCAAGACTTAAATTACTTCAAAATGTTTATTACAAAATGTGTTACAAACATTTCAGTTTCCCTATAAGTCTATGTTATTCTTACCTCCCAAAGGAGGAATTGGCATTAATAAAGCAACTCAAAACTACGCAACTACAGTATGGCAAAGCAAATTCTGAGCAAGGAACACACAAACCATTTAAGACTTTTAAGACAGAAGGAGATACAGCACTGCAACAACAGTGGGAAATTAAGCTATATTTGGCTGCTGCCAATAAATCAAGTTATTAGGACAATCTTTGCCAACTTCTTTTTAGAAGAAAGCCGCCAACATTTGAGTTTAGTACATTCCAAGCCCAGAACATCAGCATCACCCAGGTCTACAGTGAAAACGAGTGAATTAGAGACTCAACTTACTCTTCAGTATAAATACCCTTAACATCTGCAAGTTTGGAAACAAGTTAACTGGAGTCAGTCATTGGGTTTATGTATCTAACAAGCTAAAACAGTATTTCAGATTAAGAAATGAGTCAAAAAACTTAACAGCAAAAGAAACACACTGAAAGATCCAGTATGCACATGTGCTGGAAAAGTTTCAACAGTGCCAAGTTTCTTACCTTTCTCCTTCCCTCTCTCTAATGATGCCGTGAATCTAACAGTTTTAAAAAGAGTGCTTGAGTAAGTACATAAGCACCATGTTATTTATTTTCTATAATTAACTAAGGAGTGGGGACAATATAACAGGTTCTATAAGTGGAGCTTAAGGAAAGCTGCTTGTACTATTTCAAAGCAAATTTAAGGAACAGATAGGTTAAAAAATGTAAACTTCAAAGCAATTTCCCACAAGAGGAAAAGTGGGACAAAAACATTGCAGTCTCTCAAGGAGCAAATGAAAAAATATAACCCTCAAAACACGTTTATTCGTTAAGGGGTTTCATTTTATTTAGAGAAAGATACGATATCATATTAAAAAACACAGAAAGTTGACCGTATTACCCAAATCCAGGTAATAAGTTGTCAACAAAAAAAAATGCACAAGGGTAAGAAGTTTTTTATGTAGCACATATAAAGTGTTTGCACCACTGTAAACCTCTACATAGCTATTGGGTGATGTCAACTTCAATCACTTTGAGAAAAACTATCCCATTCGTGCACTACTGAAACTGTGCAACAATCCCTATTCATTTATCAAGCTTCCCAGTGAGATAATAATTAAAATACAGCAAGTATTCTGTGAAAATCTGCACCTGTTAAAGTGAAACACATTCACAAATTATCCAAACCTTATTTGATCACAAATGTCTTAACTTAGACATGTGCCTTCATCTGAATCAAAATACACCTTTAATATTTGTCAAGTATCAGGACTTCTCTCACAAAATACATATTTATCTCTCTCTCTAAACAGAGCAAGATAACTACTGTCAAGACAAATTAAAAATGGTTACTACTGAATTAAGTACTGGTTTCCAAGTCTAGCACAAAAACCCCAACAACTAGCTCTAGCTAAAGAGCAGCTTCTCCAATGCTCTTCTACTCTCTTAGTAGAGACCTGTTGATATTATGAATAGCCATGTCCTCCAGTTACAACGTAGTATTGCCTGTATCCAATACAGTCTAAAAGTTACACAGAAACTTTTCAGAACTTAGATGTCATTCACCAAGAAGAGAGAAGGCAAAAAAAAAAAATTTTTTTAGGATTCCAAGTAGAATCACATCCACTGCTCAACCAGATACTAAAACCTTCTGTTTACTGTCAAATTAGGAGCTTTAAAAAAAACAAAACAAAAACAACAAAAAACCCCCAAAAACCAACAACTCTTCCTTTTTCTTGCCAGCTGTTTGTTAACTGCATTGAACAAGACCACCGGTGGCTTCAGAAATGCCACCACTCACCAGACACTGGCAGAAGGAGGCCTCCTCTATATCCCATTGGCTAAGAAGATCTAAAGTGAGTTCAAAGAAACTCCTGTGGGACAGGTAACCAAGTACTCTCATAGCAAAATGACACCAAATACTCATCTGCTTCACAAGAAGCATTAAAAAGCTAAACAGCCCTTTGTTACTCCCTCCCCCGCTCCCAGTACAACCAGTTCATATTTGCGAGGGATTGGGATACATAAGATTTCCAACCTCCAGCTTGTCTTCACAGCATCACAGAAGACCTTTGCAGGACTGCAGAACAGCCCCTTTATCTTCACAGACCGTAAGTCTACAGGGGAATTTCAGACATTTTGGTCTCGCAGCAAAGAAATGGGAGATGCAAGATGAACTGAACTCCATATTGATTCTTAATGCAAATAAGGTGAAATAACATTTCATTTTTAAGAAGGTAAGAGTCTTGATAAACCTTATGCCCCAAGCTTGGGATCTGGATTTTGGTTTTAGCTGGTTTTTTCCTAAAGTCGATAGCCTACTTGAATCAGAAAAGCAGGTTTTAGATATCCTTCTTCAAGGAAAAGTAAGAAGGACTGTAAAAAGTATATCAAATACGCAGACTGCATGTAGGAAGAAAACAAGAAAAATACCAGAGAAATAAATCTTATTTCTAAATGAGTTGTGAAAAAACCCTTCTATATGCAAAATAAAAGACACACGTGTGTGTACAAACGTACACACATAATTCAACAATAAAGTGTACAAAAGCATCATCTTTAGCACTATTTCATATTTCTGCAACCGGCATTAGAGGCATATGCTTAGCAAGGAGTTCAGTAATAACTACGATTGTGAAACACACGAAAATGACAAACTGTTAAGTCTTATCTGCAGTTGATCAAAAGCACAATAAACTGCACAGCTTTGCTTTCAATCACTTCCAAAAAATCAGAAGGGCAGAAACATCCCAACACCCTCCCTCTGCCATTAACGCCAATAGGTTCAAACGGAGCGAAAACGGGAGAAACAAGACAGACGGAAAGGACGAAGGCAGGCACGAGTTAACAGCAGCAAAAGGGAGGAGGAGATTTAGGCAGAAGAGGGGAGAAAAGAGAAATAATTGCGGCACCGAGAGGTGGGGAGGGCCTGGGCCCCCGAGACTGACCTGTGCCGTCGCTGGCGGACACGGAGAGCGCCGGTGAGGAGAGTTTAGGCCGCTTGGCTGAAGGCGGGCCCGGCTCCACCACATTCTCGGCCATTTTTAATTCTTTTTTAGACAATCACTCAGAGCGGAGAGACGGTGGGGGGTGGGGGGGGTGAACCCCAAAACCTTCACCTTCTTCTCGGGCCCCGAGTCAGCTGAAGAACAACAATAACGCCGAGAGCGAGCGAGGACGATCCGGCGGCGGAGGGGGGACAAGTTCCCCTTTTTCTGCCCCTCGGGCTCCGGGAGGGCGGCAGCGGAG